TTGCAAAATGTATTATTTTTTTTATATAAACCAAAATTTGAATTTTTAAAATCTCTACATTAATTATATAATTTATAATTTGTCTTACATTTTACAAAAAAAAAAAAGAAGGAAAAAATAAATTAGATTTTTAAGATTTTTTAAATACGATTTGTCATTTTTGGTATTTATGTAATGTAATTGTACAGTATTATCTAATATATTATATTTATAGGCTTATTTGTATTGTATATGCTTCTCAATAATAAATATGCATTTTGAAAATAATTTAAAGTAGTGAGTTATATCACAACATTTAAATTAAAAATTATTGTACATAAATGGCTTGTGCCAAAATAAGGCTGTATTTTGCCCTTCTTCGTTTTACACAAATACTACGAAAATGAATAAAATATTGAAAAACAATAGAAGAAGTATTAAAAATTTACATTTTTTTATTTGAAATTGAAATCGGGATTTATACTATACATATCACGGCGGAAGTGTGTAAGAATATAATATATTTGATATATTTTATCAAAAACAATACTCATAAATCGAATAAGTTGACAAGTGAGCACTTGTGCTAAATTATGTTGCTCATTTTCACGTGTATACCATATTAAAAGAGACTAATAATTATTAAATAGATTTGTACATATTTATTTAAGAAAAAAATAATAAAGTTATCTGTAGATTATAAATTTTAAATTGAAATTTAAACCATTAGTTTGGTAATTGATTCGTGTTTAAATTATTCTTGAACAGTATTTTATGTAATAGTTGTGTATAATATAGAATCACATTAATAGTTTTGGGTATAATCGAATTTCCTCCCAATTGACCCTCAAATTACTTCCTGTGAATTTTTTTTTTTTTTTTGAACAATTAGTTGAATATCTGAGTAATAAATTAGTCAATTTTTATTTTGAATATTATTTATATTATTTAATTGAATCTAAAATATAGTTTTTTTTTAAAAAAATATAAAAATATTTATAAAACTAAACGGCACACGTCATGATGGTTAATTCAGTAAGATAAAAAATATATTCTTTTTATTGTTTATTAAAAATAAGTATATTTACAATCTATACATACAGTGTATAATGAGTAAGTGTGGTGACTTAAAGAACATAAAATAACATTAATTAAAGAGAAAGAAGGCTCCCAGTAATGCCACCTGACAAGAAATTAGGAATTAAATTTTATTTATTTATTTATTAATTTTTTTTTTTTTTTTTAAGTATTGAGCAGATATCTTGGCCAATGCATTTTTAGCCTTAATATATATCCTTAGATGCATTAAATGAAAAATTAATACATTAAATACTGATTTAATATACGAGTAAAAGTGTTATTATATAATAATAGCAATTCAATAAGCTTTTACTGACTCATAATACACATATTTTTATATGGATTTAAAGACAATGAATAAATAAGTTTGCAGTTTAATTAACAATGTTAATCAGTTATTATTTTTATTATTTTTATTGAAATCATGTTTCATATTTAATATCATAAGTTAATTTTAAAACATTGCAATATGTGTTATTTCATTACTTGAGAAAAAGTATATTTTTTTTTTTTTTTTTGAAAAGATTTGAAAAAATCAGATTGGTAAATATTTTTGTGTAAACAACATATTGTGTAGACAACATGTGTTATAATGTGTATATTGTATAGCTACGGTAATATTATTCTGTGAGTAACAAATGTATGGTCAAAGACTGTAATTTCGCTTTAATGTGTATACGATAAAATCAAGATTTCTGAGTGGAATATTTCCACTTATGTATACTACACCATTTACACATGTTATAAATTGAAAATTATAAATATAAACTTTATAACATTATGGACATTAGGAATAAGTTTGAAACGTTATTGTCCTAGAATAATAATTAAACCTACCTTTATTGATGTATATTATTTTTGTATAAGCTTTGGCTAAAATTTATTTCTGAATAATAATAATAATAATTACATCAACATCAATGAATTATAATATCGAGAATAAATTCTAAGTTCGAGTTTCCTCAGCATTTCTTAATAAAAGATAGTATAGTAACATAATTTTATTGTACAAGTTAGATTTCTTGTCTTAACAACTGAAGTATTAAAGATAATATATTATATACACAGCACATTAAATGATTTATTCACTTTACAGATAAATAAAGTTTTTCTTCAGGTAATACAAATATATTTAAAAATATCATATGTATATTATTCGTTTGTCATTTAGCATAGAAAATAATATTGGGAATGACAATAAACATTAAGACCCAAGGGGAAAGAATTAATGTTTTTGATTAACAACATAACATCTAAAATCGTTACCTTTTGATTAAATATCCAACTTTGCTTAAAATTTAAAATCTCTGTACAAAAATATTGTTAATTTATTTTTGATATTTTTAAAATGGTGTAAGATCAATTTATGAAGAACCTTGAAGATTAAATTATTTAAAATAAAAATTCATAAAGTAATTTGAAAATTTTCATAATAATTTTCATTTGATCCCCATATTAACAAATAGATACAATTTTTTTTAACCAAAACACTCACACACACACACATACACATAAATGAAACAAAAAATCTATATCATTATACGACCTAAGATGCATTGCTTTGCTTCGTTCACATTTAAAAACATTAAAAAATATATTTTTGCTTTCGCATTAGGAAATTGTGTGATATAAAAATATACACATCGTTTTTCCAACTCATTTAAGTACATATTTAATCAGTTAAATGTTATAGTACTTACTTTTATTACTTACCTAATCTTAGTGGTGATATTTAAAAATTATATTTTTCATAAAATAATTTCTTAAAATATCATTGCAACTTAAAATTATAAAGAACTTATTATTAAAAAAAAAACAAACCATTAAAATATATTTTTAATTTTTATATTTCCGGGAACAATCCTTTAACCCTTCAGGAATTTCATGGGAAGTTCTTGGAAATTTCTGGAAGTGTTAATCTTAAATGCAGTACATTATAATAACGAATCATTTCTATACAAAATTCGTTTAGAATATTTCATATTACATATTACATTTTCATTAGGTTTTCATTGTTTCTTATTTGGAATCTTTTCCTCTAGCTGCTTTGAATTTTTACTTATCACTATGTTTGGAAAAAAAACATGATTTATGACTAGAAAAGATTTTATAATAAATATTTTCTTTCTTGTTTTATTTTGAATATGAAAATAGTTTGCATTTCTATTTTTAAAAGAAAATTTAGCGAGTAATTTTTTACAAAGAAATTTTTACTTAATTGTATTTCAATTATTTTGTCAAATTATGTTTTGATACTGTAGAAAAATATATGAAGAAATAACAAAATAATTTCACTAAAAATTTGTTGTGTACGCCTTCTTAATGCCTTAATGTGACAAGAGGGTTTTCACAACCTTTTTAAAAATAGCGACTAAAATTTTATTAAAACAATTTATACCGATGATCGTCATTCTCAAGAAAACAAATTTTCAAGACTTACTTATATTAAACACGGAACTATAAAATCTTTATTTTGAAATATTTGTTTTTACTATACTATTAATTATATGAACTTGGTAATATAAATATAACTAGTAAATATTATTTAAATATCAATATACTATATATGTTTTTTATTTGTTTATATAGTTTTTAATTTTAAATTTCGTTAATTTTACTTAAACAAACTATTAAGTAAAATTAATTATTATTATTTTTAAATATATTTGGGTTTTGGTTAATAATAATTGTTATATATATATATATATATAAAAGGTTAAAAAATAAATTTCAAACTAGGATCTGTGTTTATTATACGAATTAATTTAATAATATTTTTTGCTTACTGACTAGGTCTTAGTACATTAACTGATTCAATTCTATGGATATTTTTGTTATTTATTTGTTAAGTGTCTAGTATATTTTGAAGTTTAAGGTTTCTTAGTATAAACATTTCTTTCGGTATTGAATTTCCAAAAAAAAAAAAAAAAAAATAATAATCATTAAATTTTTTTAAGAAAGATTCATAAAAAGATAAAATTATAAGACTGTAAAATATTTTATTTAGTTTTACATTTAAAAAGGTTAAATATTTTTAAAATTTTAGATAAATTGATCACGGTGTACAACATAATCTATATCCAATGTATTTATAATATACACATATATTTTATCAAACGTTGTGTTTTGAAACAATAATAATAATATTAATAAACTAATAAAATTTAGATAAAACGTTTATTGTTTGGAAATTTTATATAAATAAAGTGTTGCATTTTACTTCTATAGTAAATATTAATATTAAAACGATTCCAGAATTAAGCACATTACTGATTTTATAGATAACTTCTTTGTAATATTAAAATACTTGAAATTTTGACGTAATAACTTATAAATTTATAAATATTCGTGTTTATAATATTTATATATAAGAATATACAAATTTTTGTCGTATTTTTATTCAACTAATTAATAAAATATTGTACATCAAAAATTTTAATATCTGTCTAAAATAATTTATTGAAATTATAAGTTATGAATCAATCAAAATTTGTTTGTAGTAATTACTAATTTAAAAAGATATATTGTTTAATCATATAGAATTTTTAGATAAAAAAAAAATGATTACGTTACATTATAGTTGACATTTGGAAATCGGGTTGAATGAATAAATGTGTATTTTTGATTAATTGCATAAATCAAAATATACAAATATTGTAATTGTATAAAACAAATATATTATGAGCCTTTAAATCAGGTAAAATATATTGTAAAGGATATAATAAGACTATTTATTTGATAACTTTGATTTATTTTTTGGTGTTCATAATATTATAATTTATAATTGTTCATTTTTTTTATACACTGTAATGCTTCATACGTTTTTCAAAATATCAGTTAATATAACTGATTATCAGTACAATTATTTTTTAAATCCAATATTTTTGAAGTTGGAATTTCTTAAAAATATAAAAATTTATAAATAAATTCATTACACTTACCCTCTCATCTGAGGTATGAGTAATTGACTTGTGTGTTTGCATGCATCCACGCATCCTCTTCGCAACTTTCGGATCTTTTCCCTTGTTTCCGGAGAATCTCGAGCTGTGCCGATGTGCACCAGTAGTTCTCGAAACTGAGCCACTTGGCTATTGATTTCGACCACCAACTGTAAGCAGAAAAATTAAAAAATTTTAATTATTTGAAATGTATTTTGAAGTACACTTATAATTTTATCGTTGTTGACTTGCGTGGTGGAATTAAATTGATTTTATTATTAAATAGTGCAAATAAAACGGATATGATAATAAAATACTATTTTTGATAACTTATAAAACCCGTTTAAGTAATTTTTAAATGTAAAATGTTTAATAAGTGATATATTTTTTAAATATTCTTTTAAAAATTCAAAAAATCAGATTTTGCATTATTTTGTGTATAATATAAGTAGGTATCTACTTTTAATTTTCAATTAAAATTAATTTTTGTTTTAATGATACATATTAAATTTTAAAAAAATTATGCCGAGACAACAGCGTTGTTTTGTTTACAATATTTGAACTTATACAAGTTCTTAAGAGTTGTGATGTCCAACTTTTCAAGTAATGATAAGTAAATAATTATTATTTTCTACAGTACGCTAGTGAAATAAACAAAACTGAATGCCTGTACAAAGAAAATAAATAAATAATGATTAAATATACTTTAAAAACATAGTTTTATTTTTACTTTAGGTGTAATTAAAATACAGACACATGAAATATGTATTTTAAATATATGAATGTATGTTAATGAAAACTTGATTCAAGTTAAACGTTTTAATTTTTTGTTTAATCATTGAATATATAATTTTGTATACAATTGTAAAAAACTTTAGTAGAAGTAACTTCATTTTAATTTAAAAAAATGTTTATTGTGTCATTACTTATTTTTACAATATTAATAAAAAAATTTCATAGAATGTAACTAAAATGTAATATTTATATTCCAATATGCTATGTATATTGTACATTGCATAATATTATGTCAATAGAATTTTACGACATCTGTAAGATATATTTAAATTTTATTTTTTAATTAATTTAACTAATTTTACAATTTGTATACCAACAACGAAATGTCAGTAATCAGTTTCATACATACTTAGATTATGGTTGATGATTTTGCTGTAAGCTGAATTATTCAAAATGCATTACCCGATCGAAATGTATTATTATATTATACATCTAATTGACCTAATTGAAAATAAATATTTCGATCAAATCATTTTTTTTTTTTTTTATGTGATCAGTTTTTAGTTGTTTAAAAATTGAACAAAAATATGCTTCTAGCATAAAAACTATTATTATGATATACATTTTTAGTATCATTAGTAATGTTAGTAAATATTTGTATGTAATTTAGTCAAGTCAGTGGTTTATATGAATAATACTACATTTGTTATATTGACAACCGTGTGTTGAAGCGTCTGTGATGTACATTTACGGAATAATAATAAAAATATGAGTCATGTAGATAAAACAAAACATTTTTGTATTCATAAATTGACTTGAAAATGAAAATATAAATGAGTAGTTGGTTTCGTGAAAATCAAAATTAAAATATATTGTTTGTACCTAATTGAAATTGTATAAATTTCGAATTTTAGACATCGATAGTAAATTATGATTATAGATAAATAATGAATACGTATTTTTAAGTATTCCTATATTATTACAATTCAGGTGAAATTTATTTTCCACTGAGATGTGTTCTTATAAAAAATTTCAAGTTTATGCGTTTAACTCGGCATAGCCCATTACATTTATATATTTACAAGAAAAATAAACAATACATTTTATATATATTTCTTCTTTTACATTTTCTACTTTTGGTTATAAGGTTTCTCAAGACTATTTTATTTCACTGACAATCATCCATTATTCTTTATTTATTGTTTTTTCTTCTAAAAAAAAATACAATACAATATTGTAATTGTTATTATGTGATGACATAATTATTGATGAGTAATGTATTATCGTTTAATGCATTGAACGAAATCAATTGTTTTATAATACCTAATGTTTTAATGTTCCAAACACCCAAGTAAGTATATATTTATATTGATACATTATTAGGTATGTGCTCAAGAAAGACATTTCAAATTTTGCGATTAAAAACTGGTGGAGATTACATGAGAACTTATTGTAATCCCCGCCATTTTTTCGACTTAAAATTTGAATGACCCTGTGTTATTAGATAGACAATGATATAATGGAGTTAAGTTATCTTATTAAATAAATGAATACATTCAACATAGTATTAATCTGGCAGTGAAAAGTCTTTATTAATTTACTTGCATTTGGATTGATTATGCACTAAATATTATGTTAACTTTTCCTCTTTAAATTTAATTAAAAAAAAAAAATTCCATTTTTGTTTTTATTTTTTATCTGTTTATAACTTATTTGCTTCATACTCTTAAGACAATTAATTTTGTTTAAACAAAATATGTTCGTAAAATACCTCCATTAGCCGATTTATTTATTTTAATAATCTATTTTTTTTTTTTTTTTTGTGATAAAGACACCAAACATCTTGCAAATATCGATTTATATATTTTGGTTAATATTCGTTGTACTTAAATTCTAAAAATTAAATTTGTTCATATTTTATTAAAAAAAAATTAAGATTTTTAATTTGTAGAACTAATTTAATCAGTGATTGTGTACGAAAAAACAGTCAAAAGTTTAGTAAACTTAAGGAATGCATTTTCAAATAAAAAAATATAGCTATTATTTGCAAAGAGAAATTAAATCTACCAATTATTGAATAATACATACAGGCATAAAATCATTTGAGTCAAAATAGTGTCAAGTATTATGAAAATTTGCACAAACTTGATAAAATAAAAAATAAAATTGATTAAAATATAAACCATGTGACAGAAATTAACTAAGTCAAGTTAAATCTGTTTAAGATCAGTTAACATTCTTAGATTGCACTAGCAAAAATGAAATATAAGTAAACGTGAAAAAGATCATCCATGACATTTATATGTACAAGTCTCATGTTTTAAAGTTGATTATAATTGTAATCAAGTTTATTTAAGGCAAATGAATCTTATATTGTTCTATAATTAAAATCGTTTATTCTGTATTCGTTTATTTTTTTTTCTGTTTACTTGTGTATATCAACAGAGATAATAAAATTGATACATACTAATTACGTTACGGTCAGAAGGTAAGTAAACCTAATCATATATTTTATCTAGAATTGTAAATATATACATAATATAAATGATACATGTACATTAGATTTGGTGGCTGATAAAATAACAGCCAGTTGAAAAGCGAATTCTCAAATAGTCAGAGGGATTTAAGTAATTTCATTGTATCGCGTAGTGTGTATTTGACGGCTACCTGGAAACGACTATTCCCCAATCAGCCTCGGTATATATCTTTGCTTACAATATTGTCAATGAGAAACCCTTTTCAGTCTTATTGGAATTGATTGTTGCCCCGTGACCTAGCTTTTTTTGTTCATCACATTCCGCAATACGAATGCACGGACAGCATAAAAAAAAGTTTCAAAGAATAAAAATCTAAACACATTTGACGTGTTTGTAGGAAGGTGAATGATTTTACATTTTTGTATGACATGTTTTGATTTAACCTGTACCCTTAGAAAAAGAAAAAAAAATCGCTTAAACATATTTTATTGATTTTTTGAGACCTTTAAAAATTATCCATCGCCTTTTATCTAAACATAAAATTACCGAAAAAATAGTGTGATGCTTTGTTTGGTATTTTTTACTCGAAAATATCTCGTTTTTTTTTTGGTGCGACGCACAGTATAAATGTAAAGATATGGATAAAATACGACAAAGTATCTGCAAGAAAAAAAAGAAGATATATTATAGGTTATATAAAACCACACGCTTCTCGTCTTCTATACTATAAAATATTTAAAATCCATTTTAACAGTTTGTTATTATTTAGGGGGAAAGAAGAGGAATTAATAGAGGGTTATACTAAATTTTCTATCATAAACATTTATTGAATTTCTTCTAATCGCTGATAGATCGAGCGAATGTTTTAAAAACAATTCTTCAATCAAAATATAAAATTCGGGAAAATTAAAGGTTTTCAAAAAATAAAAACAATACTCTAAAGTTAACTTCAAGTCTTAAAATTCAATGTAAAAAAAAAAAAATGAATATGAACAATAGTCAATTGTAATTCAAACTTATTAAAGTTTGAACTTTAAAAAAAAATGTTCTATTAGTGAATTTAATATTTTAAAACTATCAATACATAGAAAGGCGTAACCGTAATTGACTTAAATTGTTAAATATTTAAGGATAAAGTTATCTTTTTCATAAATTTTATTTACAATAGTTGGTTAATTCGTGTAATAAGAAAAATTAGATCAAGGATAAAGTAGCAATCACTATGTCATTTTCCCTCAAATATATTATGTACTGCACCCATACCGGAATATAGTATACATCTGGGTATTGAAACAATCTGATGAGTGCAGAAGTCTGACGACAGAATGTCCAGACTATAGATACTATATGATCATTCATATAAGTCTTTATTAACAAAATACATTCATTTTCACTTTAAATCAATATTTATTATCTTAACTTCAGTCAAGTTTCATTAAAAAAATCTACATAGTTTTTACTTCACATGTAAAAACTTTATACTGTATATCTCTTTTTACTGTTAAAATAATCACTCTATTGTATAATGTTAGGAATGAAATTGAATGTTCTGAGAATGTTTCAATTAAAGTTTAAATTTTTAATAACATATCAACGCAAATAATGATCATCACAGGTTAAGGTAACTATATACTGTGGTAGTAACGATACACAACAAAGATTGATATTAATATTTATCAATGCGTCAAACCAGAAACAATTCTAATGAGCACTTTAAAAAGTGTATATATTATGTTTGTAATACATGTATCCTTACAATACTGATATGGAGGATCATAATATTATTTTCAGCAATATTATGTATCTGTATATCTGTACCACGAATGGTATTATATAGGAAGGCATTGCGTTACGATTTTCGATTCAAAGTATTGAGTTGCAAAGAAATGTAATTAGACTAACCCCTAGTTGCATGTTAATAAAAATATATTCATGTATGATATTTTATAATATTTCAA